AAAGAATGAATGAGGGGCTTTGAAATGATACTAATAAGACAACATCTATGCCGTCTCTGTTTGCATTTTAAAGTTTTTATTTTCTCCACAGACAGACTTTCAAATGCAGCGCTATTTTTCTTCATCTCGGTTAACTTTGGGTTCTGTTTTGGTACCAAGACATGTGGGAGGGAAGGGCCTATATGGACCTGGCTCACTGAAGCAGTCCTAAAAAACATGTTCATAGGTCTTCCTATGTTGCCGTCCAATACCAGGCTTTGGACAGAAGTTGATTAATGTTTTCTTTACTGATGGAAGATAAAATTTACTATGAAAACAGACAACGGGAGAAGGGCCGGAAAATCACAGAAGAAAAGGTTATAGCCTTGCTCAGAAGGAATTATCCTCAGGTCTATGTGACGTTTGCCTCCAAAACACCAACCTGAGTCAGTGTCTCCTTTCCCCATCCTCTAAGCAGACTTCTCTCCATGCCCCTGCTGCCCACCATGTACACTCACACGCATTCTGTGTGTCACACATCACTATGTCATTCTTCCCAGAAACACCTGCTCAGAATGAGTTCCACACCCCGCTGAAGATTCATCAACTTAAGCCAGGGTGAGCTTCAACTGCTTCTCTAAAACATGAGTAAACAACACATGGGCAAAGTGACACAAAGGAGTGTGACTGTACTACTCAAAAAGCCTCGTGCCCTCCCCCGCCCTCCCCTGCCCTCCCAGCCTGCACATGCCTCTCCTCTGTCAGAAACCATCCCTCTGCCAATTCTTAAGGCAACAGCTTTCACTGCGCCTTAAATGTGTATTTCGGTACCAAATACATTTACCTAGCTATGATTTCGACCTCTCTCCTTCTCTAGTAGTAACTAAGAAATACAATGAAAGCTGTTTGCTTATTTTACATTTATTTTACACTGAATGTATGTCACATTAAGATGAAACTGCTTTAACAATCCAGGCCACTTGCTCTTTAGCAGTCAACTAGGAGAGCTCCAATTTCAGAACTGATACACAACATTTTCTGTTTTTTATTTACATTTAATTTTAAAACAAAGCCAGAAGGAAGTACATTATTGACACATCAGATACATTGACATTAAACATTTTGACACACACCCTCTCATCCAACACAACTTTACCCAATAAAGTAGAGAATCACTTGAAGCAGTGCTGGTTTAAGTTGTTGAACTCCAAAAAATTGTTTCTACTTCTGTTCTTCATTAATATTATTAATAATATTACCGTTCTCGGCAAGCCATTGCGGAATCAAAGAAAAGACAGGACAGAGGATTTATACGAGTCCCAATAACCAGTATGTCTGACACAATCAGTGGTCACTCTACTGAACAGCACAGTCAAACTTCCACAACAACATTCTCAGAAGTTTCCATAAGGTTCTACAAAGTAAAATGCCGCAGAGCTTCATGTGCAATAATATACCTCAAATAAGTTTGCATTTAGACTCCAAGGATGCTCAGCAGTGAATGTGCACAATTATATGACTGCCAGAGAAACAGAAATCAGTAGTCTGTGTCCTTGGTACCTATGCCAATGGTACATTATAAATTATCATTTGACAATTATCTAGCACAGAATTTGTACTTTATAAAAAGTTGGCTACAGACCATAAAAAAAGAGGTCACAGATGATAGTAAAATCCAACCAGGAAATATGCTATCCTAGCATACAAACTACTATATTTGACTTTCAAGACAGAATAATTAAATTTACTTGGATACTCAAACCATAGGTACAAATGCAGTTTACACAGTTGCCTATGCCTATCAAGACCAGAGAGTCTTACTTGACCTATCATGGTCTATGGAACTCTATACATAATCAAAAACATGTTATATGTGTCCTGTGATTTTTTTTTTTTACAATCAAAGGTGTAAATATAAAACAGACAATGTAGTAGTAATTATAAAATCTCTGTTGAAATAATAAAAACCTCAAGTTTCTTTTGAGGACATAAAAAGTGGGATACAAGTTCTCCACATCAATCTTACATCCAGCTAAAACACTACTTCTCTACTCAAAGTTCTAGACCTGAGAGTTACACACTTTGTTGGCATTCTGATATTAAAAAGTGACTTAACTGGAATGCCAAGAACTTTGAGGTTAAATCTGAACATGAATTACAGTGACACTTGTAAAAAGCAATTTGGTTTTAGTTTTTTGTTTGTTTGTTGATTTTTTTGTTTTGTTTTTGCTTTTTAGATCTGTGATACAAATACTATGTGAAAATTAAGGGTTTTACATCAACATCGGGATGTCAAGATTTTGGGCCATCTTTGAAAGCCTGTAAGAATAACAATCTCTATGGGCTCTCTCTACCTTATTGCTGGAACCTTGTGGCAATTCAGATTTTCATTGATGGAGCTGGAGTTTTGAGCTTTAAAACTAAATGGCAACCAGGAAATTCCCTGCCCTCAAGATAGATAAACTGTCTTCCAAGAACATCAAGTGAGGAGCCCAGAATTACATCATCAGTTACACTCTGCAAATAAACCAGGGTTGTGAATGAGTTAGAAAACATTTGAAGTAAACATTTACGCCATTTTACCTTTGGCAGAGGGCTTTGCTATGCCTTAACTTGATCGTTTTACAAGCTCTGTGTATTTGTTTGGACAGCACTCACAAACAATTCCAGAGCCCCCATACCAAGATAACTAAATTTTCCATTATACAACCCTAAGTCATCTCAAACCAAATGAGGTTATGTTTTCTGATATAAAAGAAACATTACATATTTCTTAGAGGTTTTCTTATTTTAAGGAACTCAAATTCAGAGAGGTAAATGAATTCATCCAATGCTAGGACATTATAAATCTTAATTCATACTAGTTTTCAAGGTGGAAAGACTGTTACTATCAGTGAATATTCTAGGTAAATTTAAGATAGCTCAGAAAAGGGACAAGCTATCAGTTCCCTTATCTAGCTTAAGAGAGAGACTGAAATTGGAAACCTAAAAGACCAAGCAACAAACATCAATTCCCTTACACAAAGAATCCTGTTAGAGAAACCCAGCATCCTGTTTGAAGTAAATATTTAGCTACTGGCAGGTCTGAAGGTCACTGAGAGACTCCTATCTCATAATCAGCTGCTTGAAAACCAGAATGACATTCCCCAGTAGCATCAGAAGGCAGAGGCAGGGGATCAAGAGTTCAAGACAAGGCATGAGTGCATAGAAAGTTTGAGGCCAGGGCTGGAGAGATAGCTCTGCAGTTAAGAGCACTGGTTACTCTTCCAGAGGACCCAGGTTCAATTCCCAGCACCCACATGGCAGCTCACAACTGTCTGTAACTCTAGTTCCAGGATACTCCACATCTTCACACAGACAAGGCAGTCAAAACACCAACGCACATAAAATAAAAATTCAAAAATAAAATTAAGAACAGAAAGTTTGAGGCCATCCTTGTCTACATGAAATCTTATCTTTGAGAGGGAGAGATGGGGGTGGGTTGCAGACACAGAGAAAGACAGATAGAGATACCCAGAGAAAGACAGAGAGCACAGACAGAACACACATGGACTACATGGAATGAACTGTATCATATAAGCCTTTCCCTAGCCAGTGGATCTAAAATATAGTATCTCCAACACCCGATGCTGATGGAGATAAGCACCAAGAAATGTCACTCATTATTGGTGGGAATGAAAAACAATACAGTCACTATGAAAGTCTAGAAATTACAAAGTTAAACACGGGGAAAGTCATGTAATCTTACAACCATGCTCCTGTTTCCACAGATGAACTGAATGTCCTGAGCAGCTGCAACAAGAGCTGTCCCAAGTTTAGGCAATCAAGGTACCCTTCAACATGAGAGTGGGTGTAAAAACAAACTGTGACATAAGCATACAATGGCATATTCCATAAAATAAAAGGTGAGTTATGGAGCTATAAAAAGACCAGCAGGAGGCCAGTCTGAAAAGTTAACTTATTGCACACTCACTAGCTTGAACATTGAGCATTTTTGCCATTTTGTTTGTAATTTTTAGCCTTTAACAACTGAGCCATTCCTCCAGCGCAACATAGGGATTTTTTATGGAGTATGGGTAGATACACAACAAATATATATTTATAAACCATAGAACAATGAAAACGAACAGTAAACTCAAATACAAAGTGATCAATACTGATTCATTGACAGTACTGTGGACCACACTAATGCAAAGATGGCTTTGTGGTGAAGCTTCATTCTCAAGGCTGAACTTGACCACATCCATCACAAAGTAGATACTGCTATTATGATCTACAGAAAACCTTGATGCCACAGGGATGGTAACAAAATACACAGAAGCATACAGTGATGGCTCCATTCATAGAAATGGAGCTTTCTGACGTCTTCTCGTACAATGAAGAATTGGGCTCACCAGACCCTTGGCTCTGCTCACCTGACATTCCACCTGTCACCTTCTCCTGCCTCCTAGACCCTCAGCCCTTGGTGTTCGGGGGACAGTACAGGAAGAAGAAGGTTAACTAAAGATAAGATGCTAGGAATACGGCTTCAGAGTCATCACCCATGCTAGAGCGGAAGTTTGCAGTGAAGCTCTCGTAATGGCTGTCACCCAACCTCTATACACAAGCTCAGTAATCACACTGGTTTACCAAGCTGGACTTAGGTGGAATTGTTTCCTTGTCCTGTCAGTGGCCTATCTGGGGAGAAGAGGTGCTTGTTCATACATCTTGAGGAAAATTCACACAAAAGATATAAACTGGAGAAGATTACTTGCCTGGGAGGAAGGAGGATGAACTACTGTAAGCAGTCTTCCTGTGAAACTCAAACTACTCTAATCAGTAGTCTACAGAAAAGCATGAACACTGGCTCAGGTTCAGCTTTCCACCTAAACTTATGCCAAACTTAAATAATGTGAAAAGTAGATACACAAGGAAATGACATATTCCTCCAAACATAGTCATGGCACTTCTGATCACTCTGAGGTAAAAAGCAACATAAAGAACAGGAAATAATGAACAGCAGACATCCGACATGTGCTCACCTGTCCTGTGACTGTTCTTCATACATCCTCTCCTTGCCTTCTTTAAAGAGCCGTATCGCTCGTTTGGACTTCTTCATTAGACTATCAATGTAGATTTTAAAATATTCATTCTCACTCAGTTGAGCAAGCTTCTGGTTGTCATCATATTTACTCAATATAAGTCGCAAGTGCTGATACGTATCAGGTAAAATGTCAAGTATATATGGTGGGCTATTTTTCAACTGCAGTTTGGGATTTTGGCACAATCTTACCTAAAAACAAAGAAAGAAAAAATATTTTATGGGAACTGTAATACTTTCTCTCATAGAAAAATGATAAAACGAATAGAACTATGTCCCCTTTCTTTTCCACAATGTAATCTGTACTTGGAATTACTGATTCAGTTTACAAAGCAGCAACAAATACTTTGCTCGTACTATAACCGAATCCTATCTCTTATTCCACGCAGGCTTTCCTATATCACATCCTCATTTTCAACCCTAACATCATGATTATCTTTTCTATAATGTCCTAATGTATAGAGTTTAATAGAATTCCAGTATCTTGCTCACTAATCACCTTATAATGCCGATACTCTTTTTAATGAAAGCAAGTGACCAATGAATAGCTAATTTTAAGACACAATTTTACTCTATTAAATTCATGGTGAAAGCTATTTCACAGATTTTAATTAATATTTTGATCCATTGTTTCTGAACCCTGAGGAGAATTTTTTAGCAGATATGTAATTTTAACAACTGAGTTATTAAGCAGTTAAACAGGTGTCAGGTCTCAACAAGTCTTTCCCCCTCACAGTGACTAGCAGGCCTATAAACATGTGACGCATACCGTTCGGTCATCCCACCAGGTGCCACCCAGTCACTGGAGCATTGAAGAGTAAGTGCCTCCTGCAGAACTGAAAATGCTTTCTACCAGAAAAAAAGAAGTGATAATTCAAATCTACACTGCAGTCACTCTTTTATGTTAATATGACTTAGCCAGTAAAAAATAGACCAGTTCACTCTGTCCCTAGGACTAGGGGTATTGGGAACCCACCAATTCATTAATTGTAAAAAGATCTTTGGGTATGCTTTACTTAGGTATGAAAGCAGTACTCACGAACTCTGAATTTCTACCTGCAGGAAGATCTATTATGTCAACGTAGCACAAGGCCCTGAGTCTCTCAGACATGTGGCCTTCCTTTAGATTGTGTGCATGTTTTGTTCTTAGAAAAGATTTCAGAGCAAGGTATTTTAAACACAATAAATTAACAACCTTGTCGGCTTCCTTCCCATCATACTGAACCTCACATTTGATTGGCACTGGAGTGGCCAAAGGACATTTCTGGAACCTGGCTAATAGGAAGCTGAGTTAGAGAGACATTTAGCATGGGTTTAGAGGCTTTGTATGCAAAGCATACAGTCATTTCCATAAATAGTAAAATTATGGTTGGCAGGCTGAAATAAGCCAGACAAAGAAAAATCCTGTGTGATCTCATTTATATACAAAATCTAAAAATGAAGACGCGAAGTAAGTAGAACCAAGTTGAAGGGCAGGGAGAAGAGAAAGTGGGGAAAGCAGGTCAAAGGGCACAGAGTGCAGTGAAGGAAGACGACCAGGTCTGGAGACCGAACTTAGAGTGCAGGGACCACGTCAGCAGCATCACCCTGCACACACACCCAAGTGGCTAGGGTAAAGGGCTGCAGACACTCTCACCGCAAAGCAAAGTGGACGCGTTTACTCATTGGACTACAGTACCTCTTTCTCTTCATAGCTGTATCAAAATCGTGTGCTAGAAACACTAAAGATACACAATACTTGATGAATGGAGTATTTTTTTTTTAAAAAAAATATAGCTTCAGGAACACACAAGTATCATAAAATTGACCATCCTGCCATGGGGCCAGGGAGGTCTACTTTCGTATGCCATCCAAATGGCCTCGTGGAAGCCAGGCTTGGAACACCATGTGGGTAACAGAAGAGGCTGAGAGCAAGAGGCGGTGTGTGAGACAGGGTGCAAATATGTTCATCAACATGTGCGGTCTTGGGAGCTTTTCAAATTTTTAATTTTTTTTTTCTTATAACTGTAAGGAAAATTCTCCTTCCTAATCAAGCTTATATAGTAATGTAGCTGGGACCCTTCAAATAATAATGGTTTCAGCTTTCAAAAAACATACACCTGCTTCTGGCCATGCACAAAAATGCTGTGACAAACAGAAAATGGGTGAACTGTACTAATTTCAGGAAGCGTGAACACAAGTAAAAATTGGTCAACAATTAGTGAAATAAACCACCCTCACATTATCACATTTCCTTCTGTGAAGATACCATCATAGATATATATGGCTTTTGTTATTGCTATTGTTGTTTTTCGAGACAGGGATTCTTTATGTAACAACCCTGGCTGTCCTGGACCTCACTTTGTAGCCCAGGCTAGCCTTGAACTCAGGGATCCACCTGCCTCTGCCTCCCAAGCGCTGGGATTAAAGGCACAAACCACCACACCAGGTTCAATCATGGGTTTTTTGGTGGTGGTGGTGGTGGGTTTTTTTTTTTTTTCCTTTGTTTTTTTTTTTTTTTTTTTGTTTTTTTTTTTTTTTTTTTTTTTTTTTTTGTAAGAAGAAAACTCTGGCTTACATTGTCAGGTATCGACCTTAAACAAAACCAGTTCCCACAATGACCTGTTGTATTATCCTATTTTCTCCCCCTGTGTACAGTTCCTAAGTCAGAAGATTTTACAACATAGTATACAACTAGTAAATAAAACGGTATAATTGATTGAAAAGAATCTATGTATCTATGTATACACACACACACAGACACACACACAAACAAAAACTTTTGTCTTTTAAATTGTGAATCTAGCCTTTAATGACAGAACCACACACACACACACACACACACACACACACACACACACACACACTTTATATAAATGGTTTGACTGTGTAATATGCTTAATTTTCATAAGTGAGTTCTATAGGTATATAATTAACAACCCAGAGGTAAGGGCTTGACTTAAGTATAAGAACATTACTTTAATCCTCCAGAGCTTTCTCGGCAAGGGTCGGGTGGACTCTCGCTTATTAAATAACAGCAGTCTCTCTAGAGTGAAAGGGCTGACAGAGCTGGCACAGACGAAGAGCGGCAGCTCACTCTGCCGTGACCGTGGACCATGTGTCAATGATTTACACACCTAGGACACAGCTTTTCAACTATTTGTCGACTTATGTTTTTATTATAGTGTGTGTGTCTGGTCTGTGTCTGTGTGGGTCTGTGTACATGTGCAAGGGCATGTGGGTGGAAAGCAGAGAACAACGTGATAGAACCAGCTCTCTCCTTCCACGACGTGGGCTCAGGGACAGAATTCAGGTCACCTGCTCGGCTGCCAGCATCTTCACCCACTGAGCCACATCTTACCAGCTCCAGTTTTTCAAGTCTTGACAGTTAGCACGAGCACACATGAATTCCAAGCTCTTACGGTGGACCCAGCTGAATTTCAGCAACATGTCCTTGTAAAACGTCACAGATTGATATATTATTAACTTGTAAAGAGGGGACAGGGTAGCTTCAAATTCATTTGTTCCATTGGTTAATCTGTTAACTATTTAATAAATAAAAATATCAGGTACTTTTTAGATATTCCAATTATTTGTTTTTAATAGATACTTTTCAATTTTGTGGATATCTAATTCACTATTCTCCAAATGACATTTTTCTCACTTGCTTTTTTTTTTATTGTAATTTCATGTGGAAAACACACTGCTTGATTAAAGGACAAAACTCTCTGAATAACTTCCATATACCAGGTACTAAGCTATGTGCCAGGAAATTACGAATGAGTAGAACATACTTCCTGCCTTAAGGAGTCTGGCAAACGAGACCCTGTTCTATATAATTAACTTAGGAGCAATGTGATTCTTGCTGGAAGGGATCTTAGAAAAGATCTCATCCAATCCATTCATTTCCAGATTTAAAAAGCTAAGAACTACAAAGATTAAGGGACAATTAAGAAACCATAGATCCAACACAAGAGCCTGCATCTTTTGAACCTCAGGCCCCTGCTTCTTCTGAACCTTGGACCCCTGCATCTTTTGAACCTCAGGCCCCTGCATCTTCTGAACCTCAGGCCCCTGCATCTTTTGAATCTCTGGCTCCTGCATCTTCTGGCCCTTGGGCCCCTGCATCTTCTGGACCTCGGGCCCCTCACCTTCCTAACTATATCACAACTAAATTAGAATTAGGCATATAATTAATGATTCTCTTCCAAACTCATTACCACTTTTATTTGATTCCATTTGTAAATTTACATGAACTTCATGGTCCCTTTGTTAACTCAAGAAAAGTAAGTATACATGCCAGGCACTTTGGGGGCAGAAGGAAAGCAAATGATTAATCACAGACATGGAGTTTTCTAGTGGGAAAGGCTGATGGCATAAGAAAGAATTACAAAATTCAGAATTGTGGTGAAGTATGGAACAAAGCTCTAGGGGAGAGAATGAGCAGCTAAGTCACATTCCCAAGGGCATCAAGAAAAGCATGCCTAAATTTGCAGAAAGGACTATTCCAGGTAAATCATTAGGCAAAGGCTTAAGAAACACCTGGATAAAGAAGAGGTTCATGCAGCTGTGCTAAAGTGTGGAAGCACAGGAAGGCTGTTAAGTATACAGTACAGAAGACCTGAAGAAGGACTAGAATCAGTTAGTGTACCAGGACCCTGCAGGCGACACTGTTTTCAGAGTTCACCCAGGAGAAAGTAAACTGATGGATATGAGCTACTGTATGCCTTTGAGAGTGCAGTCCATCAGCTGGATTACTGCTAAACTCTGTGATTTATGACCGCTCCTGCCCAAAATGAATACTCCTACCCCAGGACGATGACTTCTAAGCAGGTCAAATTCAATCCCATTCAATAAATATGTATTAAGTGCTTGCTATGTGCAAGGAACTACAAAGCCAAGTAAAGAAAAATAGCTTCTCTAAAAACAGTCTATTAAGGGGGAGGGGGAATGAAGCTTGCCACAAGGTTAAAGCTCTTCTAGAAACACCTAGGCTGCACCTACAATGAGAGCTGGTGGCTGTACAACAGAGATTTCACAGAGAAATAAACCCATGCCATGCTATGCAATGAAGGACTAATTTAGGGCACTGACTAATAACTAAAAGAATTGGTCAACACAATCACTCTTCTTTTGAACCAGAAAAGAAAAAAAAGAAAACAAACCAGGTTTAGAATTAGGCTGAAAATGTCATTATAGTCACTGACCCAAGG